GAAGGAAGGAAGGAAGGAAGGAAGGAAGGAAGGAAGGAAGGAAGGGATCAAACAGGAGGGAAGGAAGGAATCAAACAGGAAGGAAGGAAGGAAGGAAGGAAGGAAGGAAGGAAGGAAGGAAGGAAGGAATCAAACAGGAGGGAGGGAAGGAAGGAAGGAAGGAAGGAATCAAACAGGAGGAAAGGAAGGAAGGAAGGAAGGAAGGAAGGAAGGAAGGAATCAAATGGGAGGGAGGGAAGGAAGGAAGGAAGGAATCAAACAGGAGGAAAGGAAGGAAGGAAGGAAGGAATCAAATGGGAGGGAGGGAAGGAAGGAAGGAAAGAATCAAGTGGAAAGGGGGCCCATTTTCTGGGACAAGCTCTAGGAGCAAAGGAAGCACCCAACTGGAAACACAATGGGTGAATTCAGTGTGTCTGAAGGATTTGGAGGGAGCCCTCCAGGTCACACCTGCCTTGGACCGGAGGAGGATCCAGCAGCCCTGGGAGCTCTCAACTGTTCTCGACACCCCACCCACCCACCCAAAAATCAGCCTGCATCACTCAGATTTGCAGGCGAAAGGAAGGCAGCCCCGGGGAAGCTTTAAGCGGCCATGGAAAGTCCAGGGAGAAAGGCTGTTTTCCTTCTCTGCACCCCTCTGCCCCCTCCCCCCAGAGAAAGGAAGGAAGGTCCCCCTGATCGGATGAGGGGTGCTAGGGAGGCCTTTGCGTTCGTACCGAACAATGCACCCCACAGGCGGGGAGAAATTTTTTAATGCGAAATTGTGCTCCTTCGTTATTTACGGTCCTTTTCCTTCCCCATGAATATGAAAGTGTGGCCCCCGCTTTCTCCCCCCCCCCTGTCCTTTCCCTGGGAAAGGCCTGGCGGTGCTTCTCCAAGGGCTGGTGTTATGTGGCAGGGATAGAACAAGGGCCGCTGCTGGCAGGAATCAGGCTCTGAACTCTCTCGCCTTCCTTCTCCCTCCGAGTTCTCAGGAAACCTCCGGGCTTATCGCAAAGCCGCACACGGCCGCGGCTGCCTGGGAGGGGAGGGGCGGCTTCCTGCCATTCTTCTGTGAGCTCCTGAGTTCCCAGGGCAGCCGCGCGGGGCCACAGAGGCTGGGTCCTCCTCTGGCTGGCCAGACAGAGTAGGGAGCCTTGCGTGCCTCCATGGGCTGGTCACAAGCCCTGCGGCGTCGGACATGAGCCGTTTCCAGGGACTGTGCAAAGGGTGCTCGGAGCGGCGCTTCCAGCAGGTCGGTTGCAACCGGCCACCGGGACCCCTTCCCGGGGCTCTGCTGAGGCTTCAGCCTTTCTGGGGGAACTAGATGGGGGGGGGGGAGAGAGGCAACCTGGCCGCCTGGACAGACCCCAGCTAGCCTGACACCCCTTGGGCCTGTTGCCTTTCGAGTCAGCCGGGTTTCCACATCTTTGGGAGGTGGGAGAAGCTGAAGAACAGCTCTCCTGTGACTCGGAAGTAAAGATTTCCACGAGGACTAGGGCCATGCAAGAGCTCAGATAGAGCGATGAGCTAGGCAGCCTTTCGCCGGGAGGTCGGCTGGGCGGTGATGGTGCGAATGAGCCCCTGTAACTCTCCCCGTCCTCCGCTTGGCCTCCTCTCTCTGTCCCCAGGTAGAATTATCTGGCCCCATTACTTTTCTCAAGAGCTGTTCTCTTCTTGGCTCCTTGGACATCTCTCTACTAGTATGGCTAGCTGCTCTTGGGGGGAACAGGGGAGCGGGGGGCACTCTGTGCGAGGAGGGGCAGCCTTGGGTGGGGGCCGACCTGCTTGGTCTTCCTAATGCTGCCACTGTCGAGGGCGACTCCCCGCCTGAGTCTTTTGGGTTTCCTTGGGGCGAGGGGCATTCGAGCCACCGACTTTTTTGGGGGGGAAGGGCTAAAGAAGGAGCTTGATACCAGAGGTGGACTACGGGCTTCTGGCAGGCAGCTCACCCTCTTTAGCTGTGGAGATGTGGGATGAGTGGGTGGGATCTAAATCATCCAGAAAGAAAAAGAAGACGCAGTAACACACCTAAATAAAATCTGTTGGGTTTTGCGGGACTTAAACACGAAGTAAGTGTTTAGTAAGTAAGCGCATAGGATCGCAAACGTTTATCCAGCTGCAAACTTCCAATTGTTCCCCGTTCCCCGGCTGTGTTTAGCATCCTCTTCATGCGTGCATTAAGTTGGTGAGGAGCCTTTTGAATCTGTCCCGCTTCCATCCTACCTGTAGTTGGTCCCTAAAAGCTGCAGCTCAGACGGCGGGAGGCACCGTGCTCGTTTCTCCCTCAGCACAGGGCTTCCTGGAAGCCCTGCGGGGCTCCTCCTCCTCTTCCAGGCTGCCTTTCCCCGAAAATCGGAAGGGCAGTTCTTTCCCTTTGGCTGGTCAAACAGGAAGCCCAACGGGGGTCTCTGGAATCTGGAGGGTCTCGCATGGAATAGATGCCTGAGTTCTGCGGGAAAAGAAAAAGACCTTGTGGAGTTTGTTAGCTGGAGAGTCAGCTCGTGTTTCTTCCCTTCCTCCTGGCAATCTGAGCAAACACTCTTGATTTCTGTATTAAATTAATTTTACTTTCCCTTTTTTTAAGTAGAAAATAACCTAGTTATCAATTAAAACATGAGCCTAATTCATGCAGCTTGATAATTTTACCGTTAATAATGTTTGTGTATCAGTTTGTGTATCAAATGCTGTTACCTTCACTGCCTGTCGTAATAGTTTTAACGAATGGGTTACATATTTTGGTTAAGAGATCAACGATATTCACATTTAAGTCCCTTCAATGAACACACTTTAATCCTAGCATAGTTTTGTTGCCTTCGATTCTACTGTGAGATTCAGAAGTAATACTTATTTTAATATATTAATATTGTTTTGAGTTTTAAAAAGTTACAATTAACGTTCTTAATAGACACAACATATTGATACTTAATGGTTTGCGTAAACTGGGCAAGCGTATATTATTTTTGTAGAAAGGATAACATACTTTAAGAAAAAAAAACACATCTAACTAATAATACACAGTTCACTTAAAAACAGAGAGGGAAAGTCATATACTATATTAAAATTAAAAAGGAAGAACAAAATCCTAAAAAATTATTTGAAATAGCTTTAAAAAAAATAGCAATTGTATACCTGAACAAAACTTAGAAAAACAGGAGTGGGGGGAGGAAAAGAAAGATAGTGAATAAAAATGTTAAGCTATTCAAATACTGAAATCATTGCTTTTTAAAAAAAATTTCATGGTTACGATTCAGTTTTAACCGGTTTTCAAAAGTGTGTAAAATTTATTTTGTTTCAGATTACAATCCCACGTGGGAAGAATGGGTTTGGTTTCACCATCTGCTGTGACTCCCCTGTTAGGGTCCAAGCGGTGGATTCTGGTAAGGATGCGTTCGGGTTTGTCTGCCTGGCTTCCTTCTGCTTCAATTCCCACCAATCGCTGGCAGGTGTCCTCACAAGATGGCCATCCAGACAACACATAGATCCGAACCCTGGGTGGGGTGGGGCTCCATCCCCCTTACCCCGAGACAGCCAGGTTTTCAGGCCTTCCTGAATGCCATTTAAGGTGAAAACCATCCAGTTCTCAGGGGTGACCTCATTTAAGAGGGGTGGGGGCACCATGGCAGAAGGCACTCTTCCGGAATCTTGATCGACCACCCTATTTGGGGACCTGGAGCGTGACTATTCTGTCGGATGCTCCTGGCCCTGTGGAAACCAGGACAGAGGGATCACCCCTCAAATAACCAGGTCCATGCCACGCCTGTAACTTATATCGGTGTTTTCGCCCGGGAAAGACTAGATTAGGTGCAAAGGTATTGGTGCATATGCATGTGTGTGTGTGTGTCAGTGTGTCAGTGTCACACCTTGCCTTCTTGTGTTCCCATAAGGGGCCCAGGATGGCTTGAGCCCTCCTCCTGGGTTGGGCAGTTGTTCTCCAGGTGGAAGGAGGCGATGGGTGCCTGCCTCTTTTCCCCACATCTTCTAATCCGGGGAGGAGCCGTTAGCTCCCTCTCCTTCCTTTTCCAGGTGGCCCCGCAGAGAAGGCTGGCTTGCAGCAACTGGACACAGTGCTTCGGCTCAATCAGCAGCCTGTCGAAGACTGGAAATGCGTAGAATTGGCCCATGAGATCCGGTGACTATGAATTGTGTGTGGAAAGGGATGGCGGCGGGGGTGGGGTGGGGAAGTGAAGGGCCCGAGTCAGGCCATGGGGTCAAGATCAGCCTCCGTTTTGTCCTGCTGTCCATGCAACCTTCCCCTGCAGGGGAGGAGTCACTCCGGGAAAGAGTGGAGTGGATTGGCTCAGCCCATCGGTGACCGCCTTGCCTTCGCTTCTAGGAACTGTCCCCAGGAGATCCTCCTCCTTGTTTGGCGCATTGTGCCGCAGGTCAAACCCAGCCCGCAAGGGGTCGCCACCCGACGCCCCTCTTGCAAGTCCACGTTCGATTTGCAGTCTCCGTCCGCTCGGCGGGAGAAGAGCAGCAGCGGGCGATCGCGGGTCCCCGAGCATCGGCAGAGCTGCCACGTGTTGTACGATGGGAACCCTGGGTTTGCGCTCAACGGCTGGGAGCGATACACAGAGCTTGGCAAGGCTCCCCAGCAGCAGCAGCAGCAGCAGCAGCACACCATGCCTCCGCCTTCCCGACCTCCGACCTCCAGTGGTACAGACAAGAACTACATCATCCTCACCCCACTTAATTCAGGGGGTCAGGTATGGCCATTGGGAAAAGGGGAGGTTGATAGCCAGCTGGGCCTTTTTCTATGCGAGGTAGACACTAGTCTCTCACACGTTGGTACCTATGGAAGAGAGAGAGAGAGAGAGAGAGTTGGCATTCAGCTTTTGTTGATCCTTTGAATTGCCTGGCGGGTATCAAAATTTGAACCCCCTCCCTCTAAGGAAAACTATTTCTGGAAAGTTCAGACTGAACTTTTTCCGGTCAGATCGCAGGCAGAAAACTAGAGGTGGAGCCCAAAATCCAACTCCCTGACTGGCTGCTTTGTATGGCTTATACGGTTTGTCAATTGCACAGTGGCAGATAGGACGGCGCTCCAGAGGGTTAACGTCATTGCCCAGAAGATCCTGGGTTGCCCTCTCCCCTCTTTGGAAGAGCTTTAGAGCTCCCGCTGCCTTAAGAAAGTTCAAAACATCCTCAAAGATCCGTCTCATCCTGGGCACCCCCTTTTTTGAACTATTACCATCTGGCAGACGGTACAGAATAATAAAAACAAAGGACAAATAGGCTGAAAAACAGCTTCTATCCCAGGGCAGGAGCTCTTTTGAATTCTGCTGTATAGTGCAGTGTTGGTGCGGTGTCGGGGGTTGCCAGTTCAATGTGTGGAGTGTGAAGGATGTGTGTTTGTGTTTATTTTCGTGGTCATGAGGTGCGCTGAAGACGGTGTTCGATTTCGTTGTACGAGGTGCAGTGACAATAAAGTAAACTAAAGTAAACCAAAGCTAGGCCTCGAAGGCATCGTTCTGCGTCATGAAAGCAAAGAATAGCAGAGGGGTTGAACTGGCTTGTGTGCTTTTGTGTCTTCCAGCTTCTGAGGCGGGTCTGCCAGGAGGACAAAGTTGCTGGAGGTAAGTGGCTTTCCGTGGTCCCGCTGGGTCCTTCATGGTCGAGCCAGAAGGTGGCCGGAAGGGCCTCGCGGGGAGCTGGCAAAGTTTGCTCTGGTGTCTTTGTCACAGCACGTGGAGGATAGGAAACGGGGCTTTGCACTGAACGCATGAAGCTCGCGCAATAATTGCAGCTGGTTTGTTTCTGTATGGTGAATGCGCTACGTTTTTTAACCTACCTTTCTTATACAATAGTGAGAGTAGCATGACGTGGCTTGTCTTTCCCCATTTTTTTTTCTGCTGATCCTCTCGTGGGGCAGCCTTCACGAACCGGTCTACTCCCAGGCAGGCTGACAATTACCTGGGGTTATCAGGAAGGAGCCGCCCTGGAGAGGCAGGAGAACTCCTGAGCTACATCCACATCTGCTTTTCCTTGAGATCCGGCTTATTGTTTTCCTTTGCTCTCCTCTCCTCCCTACGCCAAGGGTCTTCAAACTTGGCAAGTTTAAGACTTGTGGACTCCAACTCCCAGAATTCCTGAGCTAACATGACTGGAGGAGGAGGAGGAATTCTGGGAGTTGAAGTCCACAAGTCTTAAAGCGGTCCAGTTTGGTCTATAGGTTCAGTGTGGCTGGGTATCGTCCAGTCTCTTGCTCCCACCGAAAGGAGCAAAGGGGCCAAAGCGGTGGTACTTGCCCCCTCCTTCCATCAAGGCAGAGCACTGGCAGCAGTACCAGCCACGCCAGGTGGCTCTGCTGCTTCCCTGGGACGAGAATGTCTGTGTAGGGAATTCACCCAAGCAGGCTCCTTCCCCCGTTTTTGTTCCTAAACATCCAGGCAATGCGTGCAAAGGAGAATCTCGCGGCAAGAAATCCCGTCTCATGAAGACTGTGCAAACCATCAAGGGCCATGGGAGCAGCCCCCAGAGCTGCCCTCTGATGGCATCCCACATCCCACCCTCCAGTTACGGCACCTACGTAACGCTCGCTCCCAAAGTGCTGGTGTTCCCCATCTTCGTGCAGGTGAGTCTCAGAAGGTTCCACACCCGGGAAGCTAACTTTTCTCTCAGCTGTGTGTTTCTCTCTGGACCAGCTGTCCTCACTTGCCTCAGGTCCCCCAGACGTCAGATTCGGAGTCCAGGTCCCCTACAAAATAGGCTTGTTTGACGACCACTAGGATTGTGGTACTTCGTGTCCCTGGAAAGACAGGGCACCAAGCATTACCAGTCACGGCCTACCCAGCCAAGCCTTTCCTTTCCCCTAATGGCCCCCAGGAAACTCACCAGCATGGAGAAGCAGGATTCTTGCTGATTTTTAGCTCGCCTTCCTTCTCCGGTGAGAACCGTCGCTTCGTTGCCGAGTAGCCTGTACGCCCTGTTGTTCATGCAACAGGAAAAGGCAGTGGCTAGACCCGGCCTTGGTGCAGCCTCCAGCAGCTGGGGTTCAGTGCCATGCAGACCCTGGAGATACCGTGCAGTTACCACGATTAATGCCAGTTGATTGGGCCTCTGCCGAAGCAGCAGAGTTTGCACATGGGAGTAGATATAGCCCCGGGAGGCCAGGTGAGAGTTAAGCCCTGAGCGGAAACACCGTGGCTGGGAAAATCTGATATGCAGGGCAACCGGTATTGTCTCCGTGAAAGGGCGCTGCTCCTGCGAAGAAGCCCTGCCTCTTTCAGAAACCTTTGGGAAGAGGCTGGACTGTCTTCCATGCCATGACAGTCCTGGTCAGCTCAGTCCCAGTGCAGCTCTCCGAGGCAGCTTCCTCCTCCAGCTAAGCATGGAGGACGGCCTTGGGGGAGCTACAACACAGAGAAGGAAGGCCTGGAGCCCCCCTGTCCCAGACAGAGATGCCCAGGTGGGCATGTAAGCTCTGCGCCTCCCTTCTCCTGCCGTTCCGCCAATGTTTTTCTACTCAGCCACACAACAGGATGGTTCCGACTGCTCCTCGCACTCAGTGTACACTGAAGATTTTGTGGAAGAGCCAAACGATGACCACTGCATCTCTCTCCAAAAAGTGAATTCTTTTTATAGTTATTGCGTGACCTGCCGGCTTTCCTGTTTGTTCTGGACTCTGGACTTTCCATTGGTTGCCCGGGCTTGCGGCAGAAATAAATCGATGGAGCTGTCCGTAGGGTTTTCTCTTCGTCAGAGTCTCTGAGTTGTGTTGTCTGTATGTGTTTTCTCTTGCTCCACTAGCCTCTGGACCTTTGCAGCCCAGCTCGGACGCTGGTTTTATCAGAAGAGCTGCTTCTTCATGAGACTCGAAACAAACCAACTGAGGTGAGCATCTAGGTGCCCCCTAGGAAATGATATTTATTAATACTGACTCTTTGGCGAGGAAGGAGAATCCAGCAGGAACTGTCTGAAGTGCCGTAGTCTCTCCGAAGGCACAAGGTATTCGGGATTGTTAGGGGTAGCTTGTGATATATTCCCAATTGATATTTGCAATATGTTTTTTTTTCCAAAAAGTTTTTTTATTTTTAATCTTTTACATCTCTTTTAGTGAACAGTGTGGTTCCAGGTTTTTACATTTCCATACAAACATGACCATAACTACATATCTACCTCACTTATTCAGTTTCTTATACGATTGTATTTTCCATTTTCTATAAATTCTCAAAAAGTATTCTGATGGTATTTTTTACGTTTATTTTATCCCATTTTAATTCATATAACTTATTATATTTTTCTTTAATTATACCTATCTTCTTTATATAACACCTTAAAATTCTTTATTTCTTATTCTATAGTCATTATATTCTTATACTTTTCTCTGTCATATTTGCCATTTCATCACATATTCTTATTTCATTGTTCAATAAATTCCATCTTTAACGATAATCATTCCAAAGATTTCCCCCTTAATTATTTGCAATGTTTTTACTCAAAGTAACAAATGCTGAGATGTGGTGAGGATGGAAATCTTTTAATGGAGCCAAATAATTTATTTGATTTACAGATAAATACAGAAATGGAGGAATTTCTCCATTCTGGTTTAACCCCCGGGGCTTCTCTTGAGAAGCAGACTCCCCAGAGGCCTTTCTTGGCCATAGGGACTAGGAGGTTGCCCTAACCCTAACCCTCAAGAGCCCTGGTGCCAGGTCAGACCGGCTGTTAAGTGGCACTGCCCCTTTTGTCATCCTGCTCCTCTGCTGTGCAGGCCTGGCCTTTCACTGGAAGTGCTGCCGCTACTGCTTTCTCAAACAGCCTGGCTGGGACAGTCCCGTTCTAGAGCTGCTCTACAATCTCAGGGGCTCCTGGTTTTCCTCCCAAAGCCCCTCAGGCTCACCTTGAAATATGAGGGGTGGTTAATATTCACGCTCCCATTTCCATAGACCTTGCAGTTTCAGTGCCTTTGCTTTTGAACTCTCGTGCTTTGCGGCACCTAGGGGTGATTTCTGCCACCAGTTTTCCTTTTGAGTGGCTAATCAGCGTGCTGAGATGCTGTTTGTATTACCTCACCCGCATCGCTGTGGCGAGGGGCGTACTGGCACAGTCGGGGGGCTTGCTTCCTGGCGGACATGCACCGGACAGCCCTGCCAAATGTCTCTCGATCTGAACTCTTTTTTGTTTTTTAAAAGCTGTGTGTGATCTTTGGAGGCATGAATGAATCTGGTCACCAGCTCACTTCGCTGCCGACCCATAGATTCTTGTGTGGCTTTTTCTTGCGGAGAAGAAGAACCAAGCAGGCTCCCTGTCGGCGATCCCACAAATGGGACTCGTGCCGGAAGAAGCTAGTGTGCCAACAGATTTTAGCTCATAAACTCAATCCCGAAGCCTGAGGTGAAGGAACAGTGTCCCAGGGACTCTTTGGCCATCTGAAGTAAACAGCGTGACTTTAGGATCTGGGATAGCAAAAGTCCTTTCTTTTCTCCTCGTTTCCAATAATGGCTTGTCTTTTTTTTTCCTCGGCTAGCATTTCTGAACCCAAAAGTGGTCATTCTTTCGCTGCTACTGTAATTCCTGAATTTGGCCCAAATGTGTCGGCGAGGTCGCAACGCCTGGCGGTCATGGAGTGATTTCATTGTATTGTTGTATGTTGTAGGGAAGCTGCTTCCAGAATTTTGCTCAGAAGTGTGATAACATCATACTCCCCCCCCCCACTAAAAGGGAAGGGGCAGCTGGCCGTGCACTGTGTGGCACTCCGCCAGAAATGTCCATTTTCAGCCACATCCTGTCTAGACTTAGTTTTTCTTCCCACAGTGATAATCTTTGAAATTCTGGGAAGTTTTTGGAGCGGTGTTGCAAGGGGAATTTCTAGGCCCAGATTCTCCAAAATGAGATGCCAAGGGGTGACTCCAAGAAGCCCCCTGCAGGGGGGAAGAGGCCGGTCCCCATCAGGGCACCGAGAGCAAAAGAGATTTGAGATGATGGCTGGTACACGAAACCAAATGTCATCAATTTGCGGAAACGGTTATTAATTTTGCTTCACCGTTTTGGTACTTGGCCCCTGGCAGACATTTCCTTTCTCTTTCTGCCTTGTCCAGGTGACCCTCTTCATTTATTCAGACTTATTGCTCTTCACCCAGGAAGAGGAGCCTGGGCGATGTAGCGTCTTTCGCAACCCGCTTTACCTGAAGGATGTGCGACTGCAAGAGGGTGAGTCCAGAACCCGCCAGAAAGAAGGCGTTGCTGCCAAGTAGTGTTGTATGTTCTATGTCCCTCTGGTCCATAGGGGAGCGTTCCCGAGGTGTGTCTCCAGCGGAGAAGGCTGGGCTGGATAGCTCAGCGGGCTCACCAGTTGGCTAGGGCAGCTTCCAGGGCTCCGGTTTGGAGCCCCTTAAGTTTAGAAATGCCGTATTTGCCAGCTTTCCCTTGGAAACAATGACGGCATACTGAACACTTGGCCAAAAAAACCCAAAAAACTATTTTTTTCATTTGTCAAATCAGAGAAGGTTAAATGACCCCTTTAAATCTACTTCTCTTGCAGATTCCTCCTCTGAAGATCTGAGGTTCTGCATTCTTTACCTGGCAGAGGTGAGCGTTACCTGCAAATTAGCTTCCCAGCTACGATTACCGTGTCCATCAGCCTCTTTCTGTAGCGGGTGGAAGAAATAGGACTAGAAGCCACTCGGCCCAGAGGGTCGCAGAGGCGGCAGACTGAATTCTACCTCACAAAATATCGCCACTTCGAGGGCTAGCGGTAAAAAAAAAAAAAGGACGAGAGTTTTGGGAAGAGTTTTTGTAGTTAGTATCAGTGATGCGATAAGCTTCTTTCCTGCGAGATGTCATCTTAAGGCTCTGAATATGAATAACGGGGTTCAGGTAAAGGAAGGGAGAAGGGCAGTTAAATTCTTGGGTTCAGTCCAAACCACCATGTTTCAAGTCCTGATTCAAGAACATACAACTCACAACTCGTCACTGTTTCCCCTCTACCAGGCCAGATGATCCGGGGCAACTGCAGACCGGGGTTTTTTTTTCCTGACAGCCTTTCCAGAATCTCCAGGGCTGGAGGTGGACAAACTTTGTGGGCCCGCAAGGCTGCCGGGCTGCCATGAGCTGAGATTTAAAAGCCACCATTTTATTCCTTCACCCTCTCCAACGTCGAGCTGAGAGCCTCCGTTCTGGAGCCCGTTAAGGGACTGAATGGGAATCTTGAGCCTACTGGGGTGTTTGAATAAAATGTGCCACCATCCCAGTTAAACGGAACAAAAAAAAAAACAGGGTTTATGATACCAGGAGGACTCAGAGGAAGTGAAGCCAGTGGCTGGGTCTTTTCTTTAGAAAGTGGTGGACTAAAGCTTTCTTTAAATCTCTGGCCTACTCATCTTAGTTCCAGGGCCAGCGCTTTCCTCGGGGCTGTCGATATTCAACCTTTTGCGTGGTGTGTGTGTGAGAGAGGGAAAGGGAGAGAGAGAGAGAGAGAGAGAGAGAGAGAGAGAGATGGCTTCCCTCACGCAGGAAGAAGCCTCCACTTACAAAGCATTCTGTGCACTTTGCCAGCAGGCAATCTGCAGAATTTTTGCTCTTGGCCGGCCTAATTGAATTGAGGCAAACCGTTAATTCCATTATCTGAGGCCGGAAGGGGCGGCGGGGCTCCAAGACAGGGTTTTGGATTGGCTGTGATGGCGAATGCGTGGGAAGCTCCCCATCAGCCTCTCGGGGACAGTCTTCATCCAATGCTGTATTATCTGCATCTATAGCTTTGCTGGGCTTACGTGGGTCCTCCACGAATGCGAACCCATTTCTTTCCGTCGTCCCTTTTAGTTGCCCCACGCTGAAAAGGTGCTGGTGCTGCAGGCAACCGACAACCCACGTGGGCAACTGTTCTGACCCAACCGGGTTCCCAGAGAGCAAACCCAGACAAAGGCAGCAGCCCCCACCTTTCAAGGTTTAATCACAATTCTGTTCCTTTTCAGATAAAAGGTTGCTTTCCAACAATTAGCTCCGACAAGAAAGAGCCTTGCCAAGTTGTTTGTCAAGGCCTACCAAAAACCCAGAGATAAGAACTAATTTACAAGATTCTCCAAATATGAACTAAGATGCCCACCAGTTGAGCTTCAGAGCTTCTTTGCTCTCTGCAAAGAACGTTTTTTTTCCAAACCTGGCTTTTATCCTCTTGAGGGAGGGGCCGTTACCTTGCAGCCTTACTCCCAAGTCGCCTGTGCTGCTGTAATTGTTCTTTCCTCTGAGTAATCCTCCGTGCACGTGCACTTAGCACAGGTTCCTCGGGAACCTCCTCATCGCTGCTGCCAGTCTCCACAATCCCTGAAGGCAGCAGTCCATTCTCTGATGGTCCTGGCCCCTCATCTGAGTCCTCGCTCTCCTCAGCTGTCTGCACCTGCTTCCGGCTAACCCCAACAGCAACCTGAGGGCGTGTCTGTTTTCCCAATCGGAATCCTTTGGGGCGGGAGCTGTGCCCCCTTGCTCAGGGGCTTCCACCACAGATACAGGAGAGGGGGTCTGCATTGGCGGCTCTGCTGCCATTTCCCACAGCGGACCAAGGAGGACACTGACTCTGCAAAGGATAGGCAAACCAGCAGACTTGAGTAGGGGGAGAAATTGCGCGTGCAGCTAGTTTTGTGTCAAAGGGCTTCCGACCAGCTGGCATCCCAGGTGGACAGCCAACCCAGAGACAAAAGCTGCCCCTGAGGAAGGTGGGCCTTGCCCTCCTAGATGTCTCCCGCTCCCGACATCCTCTGTGTCCCTGTGTGCTAGGAGCTGGAATGTGTGCTCAGCCTGCAGGCTCACTCCCATGAGCAGAAGACCAGGGTGTGCTGGTGTCTGATCGATCACGTCTTGAAGCAGCAGCCAAGAACAACTCCAACAGCCCCTCCAGCGGAAAGCAAGGTAAGGGCTGGCAGGAAGAGGCCCATGACCAAGCGCAGTCCGTTAGAGCGGGGCGGTCCTCGCTCAACGGGGAGCGGGCGCAGCTGGTCAGGCAGGGCAGCTATTCCTCAGCGCATGAGCCATAGGGTCCATTATGGATTCTGGCATGGGATGGAGGACGGGACCCAAGAAGAGCCCTGCTTTGGTCCAGGCCAAGTCAGCGTCGGCAGCCTCCTTCCTCCCTTAGGGGCGTCCGCGGGGGCTTACCGGCGGGCTTTGATCCTCGTGCTGCCGTATTCTTGGCGGAGGCTTCTTCGCCACATCGCAGGCCTCATCGCTTGCCGTCTTGGCGAGTTGCGAGACGCTGTCACAGCCACCAGCCAGGCAGGGACTTGCCCTATTCGGGATGTTCAACACGGAAGAGTAGAAACGACAAGGCCTCCTCGCCCCCTTGGCCTGCTGGGGCTTTCAATACACACACCACACGCACACGGACGGAGCCTTGCCCTGCAAGAGAGGTGGCGCCCCTGGCTTGGTTCCCTGCCGTAGCCTTGGGGGTGCTCTTGCCTGGCCTCTGAGGTCCTCCCTGAGCTTATCTGCCCAGCAGGGGTTGAGTGGCCCCCGAGGAGCCAAAGCACATCTGGGGCGCTGGGCAATACGCAGGCTTCGTTTCCTTGTGCCTGGCTGATGCCGAAGGGTCCCCTTTGTTCCCAGGAAGTGGGCCTCTGCCCTGCCTCTGCCCAGCTGATGTCAGTCCTGCCTCTGGCATTGCAGGAGAATAATCGGAACTGGCTGCTATTTGGCAGAGTTCCTGGCTGCACTTAATCCAATGATGATCTGATTATAGGGAGGCCAATAAAACCCTCGGCGAGTATTGCTTTCTCACAGGCGCCCGCACAAAAGGGCAGGCAGAGCTGGTGAGCAGCAGCAGAGCCACCACTCCGGAGGCGGGGGGCAGCCGCTCCTATTTGGGGGAGCCCTCCCCTCTGCCTGCACCCCTCCCCTGCTCACCCTGGAGGAGAGACTAATCTATGGCATATCAAACCATCCCCCCCAAGGCTAGGCTCGGGGCGCCCCCTTCTTCCCTTGCCAGCCCTTGGCGGGCAACGGCAGGGCCCTCGCTTCGACGCCCGTGAATTGGCAGGGGCTCCAGGACGTCTCTTGCAGAGGTAAGGAGAGAGACCCCCCCCGGGCTTCTTAGGTGCTTCACGTTGTGTTGATGTCGTGCTGTGAGTAGGGATTGTGTCTGTTTCTTACAGGTTTGTCCTATGCCTCCCCGCCCTGCCATTCTGACGAAATAGAACAGTGTTGCAGATAACCCACCCCTGCTAAGGTTAAAGGGGGGGGGCGGGGGCCCTCTGTGTTTTGTACTTAGTTTGGGGCAAGAATATTTAGGGGTTGTGAGAAGAGGACAAGGTGCGTGGTGGTCCTCTCTGAAGTTCACGCTGTGTGGAAGGAATGATGCCACAAGGCTGAGGACCAGGGTGGGCTTAGCAGGGTAGGTTTCCGGGCGTTTCATCCTTCCTTCTACCACGAATCTTCCTTCCTCCGGCCCCCAAATAAATGAGAAGCAGCGTATTTCAGCTCGCTCGATCTACATGCTAGGAAGGATCATTTCTCTGTGCAGACCATGGCTGAAGGAGCAGAACCGGTGACCCCAAAATGTCAGAAGGATGGGGCATCTCGGGAAAGTGGTGAGGAGTGGGTGGCAGGCTGGAGGAGGGTGGCTTAAGGGGTGAGTGGATAGGAAAGGTAGGAACGTGAAAAGATGTTGTAGAAACTCTTTCGCCCATAGGTTACCTGAGGCAGGTGAGTTCAACCCTAGCCCCTCCCTCTCCCACACACCATGAAGGCAGAGATGGGGCTTGTGTTGTCCTTGTTTGACCTCCCGAGGAGGCTGGAATAGGCCCACCCACATGCCAAATGCCCCCCCTTCCTCATGACCTTCAGCGTTTTAGGTCTCAACCCAAGCAAGAGAACCCCAGCTGTAGGGCCGCTTTTTGCCTCTTAAAACTTGGAAACTGATCCAGTTGATCACCCCATGAAGCACCGTGAGTTCACTTCTCTTTTTGGCTAGAAATGCTGAAAACGTTTTGCGTGACGGCTCTGCTGGGTCAGAGTTAAGCCTCTTCTGGCCTTAAAACCCCCCCTGGGTGCGAGTCCTTTTTAACCAAACCGAGAGCGCAAGAGCTGATCCGCACATTTACCACCGCCATTAGTCACTGGTTGTCCATGGCTACCTTTCTGGGGAGCGTATTGGGAAGCAGAGATTTGGCCTCTTAGATATGTCAGGTTTTTATTCTCTTCCTTCTTCTCTCCCGTAAGTTCTTCTCAAGCGGATTTTAACTCCACGTGTTCTGGTAAAACTGGGGAGAATATGAAGCGTTTAAAATCTCTCTCTCGTGGCATCGGCCTCCTCCAAAGGCCAACCCTATGAGTCAGCTCAGCTCAGTGGAAAAACGGGATTATGTTCAGCGTGTGATCTGTCTCCGCTCCTAGGGGAGTCCCCAGGACCTTTCCATGATGTGGCACAAGGGCTGATTGAACAACAGGGTGTTTACAACCCTCTCCTATATCCCCTGCCCACCCCAAAGGACTATCTCTGGTAATTTGCTCCCACTGAGCCAAGGAGACAGGTTAGAACTTGACCCAGCTCTGTTTGTTTCCTGAGCTAAAGCCTTATTTACATCCGGACCTCAGTTGTCCAATTAAGCATTCCGGCTGGTGTGGGACACTAGAGCCAAGACAGGGAACGTCAGCAGCATTCGGATCAGGTGTGGGTCAAGACCAGCCGTATCTCGATTAGCTTTGGGTCCCTGAAAGTCAAACCAGCTCCTTTGGACCAGGACTGCGAGCCAAGCGGTTTTGTAGAGAAATCAGTGGGGCCGCTCTCAGATTTGGGGCTCGGGTGTGGCGTGACCTGCAAACTACTTGCCCAGAAACGGCAGCCGGAAGCACCTACAATTCGTAAGTTCTCGACAGCTGGTCATTCTTTCCACCTTGGGGTTGCAGAAGCCAAGCATCGCGGCCTCTGTGCTGGGGATTTAAGGCCAGCCCCACTCCAGGTGCTCTGCCGGTTCCTTGGTTTCTCATGGGGCAACTGATCTGAAAGGGGAGCAGGACGCTTCCTCCTGATGGGCTTTTGAGAGTGATTTTCAGAATATATAATCTGGAAGTTGGGAGGGCCTTGCACACAAAATTTAGCAGCAAAGACTATAACAGAAGATTATTGCTTGTGGTCAGAAGAGATGCTAGTGACCACAGCCTGAGCGGCCCCCTCTGTGGAAAGTGTATATATGCTGGCCTGGATGTTAGGGCTCTGGGCCACAATTCTTTGGTTCCAAAATACAGAATCCAGGGGGGGGGGGGGGGAGAGCTTTATGCAAGGACTGGGGTGGGAGAGGAGCACCTAGGAAGAAGCAGCCTTTGGGGTCTCAACCCCTGGCCCCTTATTGGGAGGAAAGGCTCCCGATGTACCTGGGGAAGGCTGTCCCCAGGTGCAAGCCGTCAAGTTTGAAGACCCTTGTGTTAGAGTAATACAAGAACAGGAAGTGCATCACAGGAACAATAGAGATGAAACCCGGAGGGGCAATGGGGTACAGGAAACGATTACAACAGAGGGGAATGATAGAGCTGCGTATCAGATAGAGCAGGGGTCTTCGGACTTGACATCTTTGTGGACTTTCAACTCCCAGAATTCCTCCTCTAGTCACTTTAGCTCGGGAATTCTGGGAGTTGGAAGTCCACAAGTCTTCAACTTTGCCAAGTTTGAAGACCCTTGTTCCAAGACATCAGCCTCTGCTTGACCTTCCCAGGATCACTTGGGACGCTGGAAACTTTTTTGTCCCATTTCCAACCATACATTTCCCTTTCCCTTTGTTTCCCCCCCCCCCAGATGCTTGAGCCAGCAGCTGCGAAATTAGGGGCAGTGCCCCCTGTGGGGCAGGATGACAGCAGCCGCCTTGCCTATCCTGTGAGGGGCAACTCCGTAGAGGGGCTGACGGGGGAAGCTGTGGCAGGAGTCCAGGGCGTCGCGATGGAACAGGGGAAGCAGCCCCGCCACCTCGAGGAGAAGGAGCAGGAAACGCCCTGCAGTGGCCCCACTGCCTTTGCAATCCCAAAGTTACAGGTGGAAGGTGCCTTTAATCCAGACCTGACCTGCCTCACCAGCCTCAAGCTCAGCGGTCCAGAGGAATTGGCCGAGGAAGAGGAGGAAGAGGAGGAGGAGGACAGTGGGGAGGCCTATCTGGCCAGGGGGCATCGAAAACGCTGCAGCTTGTTTGAAACGTCCGCGTGTCAGCCGGCCTGCACCCTGAGTGTGCAGAACTCTCTGCGGCGTCGGACTCACAGCGAGGGCAGCCTGCTTCAGGAGCCCCGAGCCGGCCACTGCTTCACCTCTGACACCAGCCTGAATTACACCGAGATGCAAGGACCGGCCGCCGGCTGGACGCTGCCCTCTCCACAGAGCCTCAAGAAACAGCTTCTGAAGAACGGGGGCTCCATCCACCAACTCACGCTGCTCTTCGTTGGGAATCGGAAGGTAGGCAAGTCTCGGGGTGTGCCTGGGGGTCACAACGAGGGTGGGTGGGTGGGATGGAGAGAGGCACGCAATGGGTGCCTTTTGGAGCAATCGTGCCAGGAAGAGTCAGAGGAAGCTTAGTCTAGGGATGATCTTGAATGCGGATCGCACGCCACTGGCTTCGCACGACGCACGCGGTTGCTTCTGGCCTCTTTTGGCTTCCTTTCAGGGACCCAGGCTGGACGAGGCCTTTTGACTCAGTCGGCTTTCTCGGCATGTCAGAAATGTCAGTTTTCAGATTTATTTAGAGAGCTACTTTGAAAAATAACATTTCTCGGTCTTCTAAGTCAGGGGTCGCCAACCTTTTGGACCTCAGGGACCACTAAACTCATAATTTTAAATCCCTCGCTGAAGTGGCATCACTCCACATTATCTTTATCCATGTTTGTACACGCAATGTGTGCTGGCTGCCCCTTAGGGCAGTGGTGGCTAGCCTTTTTTTTTTTGCTCCTGTGCCAAAAATCGTGCGCATGCTTATGCGGGTGTACTCACGTGCCAGCACTCAGAAGGCAGTGCGCCCCCCCCCAGCCCCCTGTGCCAGCGTGCGTGATCCCCCCATCCCGCCTGCCCCCTTATCTGCATTGCACCTCCCAGCTGATCTTCGGCCCATTTGAAGTCTTTTTTGGCCTCGCAGAGGCTTGAGGGAAGCTTCTGCAGCCTTTTGCAGGCCAAAAAAACGGGCCCATTTCGTCACTTCCACTATTTCGGGAAATACAGGAAGTGACGAAACGGGCCTATTTTTCAGGATGCAGAGGCTTCCCTCAAGCCTCTGCGAGGCTGAAAAAGGCCCGAAAATCAGCTGGGAGGTGTGTGCGTGCACAGTGAGGTAAGTTTGCCTGGGGCTCGCATGACTGAACCGACGGCTCCGCGTACTCCCTGTTGCACGCGTGCCATAGGTTCGCCATTTACAGCCCTAGGGGATGTGTCCAAAACGACCGGCCATTCCAGAGAGACGCAGGAAAGAACGATCGCTGGGCCTTTCCATTTCTCCCGTAGAGTTTGCTATGAAGGGCCCAGAGGTGCTTGCGTGGCTTCTGGAGGGGGATTCGGCAGCTGTGCGGGCCTGCTCCCTGCCAAGGCAGAAGAGGATCAGCTGCCTTTTCCAAAGCCAGTGACTCAATCCTGAACTCTAGTACCTGTGGAGAGGCAGGGACAGAGAGGAAGAGCACTTCCAGTGGGGAATTGGGGGGCCTTTCCCATTGCCTTTCGTATGCCAGACAGGTCTCTGGATTCCTCAGAGGCTCCAGACTGAAGAAGAAAGGAAACCGCCCGATGCCCGTTAAGAATTATGGAGCAGGTCCCCCTTCACAAGAACTCCAGTCCTGCCTAGGTTACCTACCCAGCAGAGAAGCAGAGTGAGAGTTCAGGGCCGGCCAGCCCCCTTGCCCAGAGCCGAGCCCCCCCCCCCCTTCCAGCACTCTTCCTGTCACACACCGTCAGGTGGGTTGCGAGCAGCATAATCCCAGGGCCAAGCAGAGCGGTCGGCCTTCTAGGGCGGCTGCCTGCTGCTGGAGGAGGCCAGCCCTGGCCACTTCCTGCCCGGGGAGCAGAGAAACCCCTTTCAACAATGAGAGGAAATGTGCTCAAGCCCATCTGGCGCACCCGAAAGGCCCAGGAATGCCTTGGCCAGGCAGGCAGAGCGCTGGCTTCCTGATAAGGCCCGGAAGCCTCCCCTAGCAAGCAAAGGAGAGCTGGGCCGGTGGCGCTTGACCAAGACACGGTTTCCCACGCTTCGCCCCGGTTCCGGGTGGCGGGGGGAGATTCCCAAGGAAGTTCCTTCCGCGTGGACTTCGGTCTGGCCAATAAGCCCTGCCCTTGAAAAGATGGTTGGCAGTGTTTGGAAGCATCTGCCCAGACCCCTTCCAGGCGGCGAAGGATGGATAACCCAAAAGGGAGCGGTAGCAAAAGGACTGAAAATGGTTAACTCCTCCGTTGAATTTACCTGCTTTCTGTCCCCCCGCCCATCTTCCCATTGTGGCCATGGTGGCGACAACAGCAGCAGCAGCAGCAGACGCTGGACCCCGAAGGAGTTTGCGACTCAGGAGCAGCCCACAAGATGAACAAGGCGATGTAAGTGTGACTGTGCTTTGTGGCTCCTTTCTCTCAAACAGCCCGAGCGGGCGGAAGCGTCTCTCTTGACCGTCAGGTTTTATTTATTTTTTGGTCTCGGAACACAAGGCTGTGAATCAGGAGCGAATTTCCATTTGTTCAGACCCCGCCCCAGAAGGAAAAGCAAACTGTGGAGGTTCAGAAACCCACCTCTTAGACATATGACAGGGGCCATGCTGCCTTCCGTCCCCCTCCCTGCCCCCTACTCCATCTAGAGCAGGGGTCTTCAAACGTGACAGCTTTTAAGACTTATGGACTTCGACTCCCAGAATTCCTCCTCCAGTCATGTCAGCTCAGGAATTCTGGAAGGTGAAGTCCACAAGTCTTAAACTGGCCAAGTTTGAAAACCCTTGCGTGCGTCTGTCTGTCTGTCTGTCTGTCTTGTCTATCTATCTATCTATCTATCTATCTATCTATCTATCTATCTATCTATCACCTATCATCTATCTATCTATCTATCTATCTATCTATCTATCTATCTATCTATCTATCTATCCTACCTCTATTCTATCTATCCCTTCTCTCTCTCTCTCTATTCCAGTAGTCTTCAAATTTGGCAACTTTTAAGACTTGTGGACTTCGACTCCCAGAATTCCTCCTCCAGTCCATGTTAGCTCAGGAATTCTGGGAGTTGAAGTCCACAAGTCTTAAACCGACCAAGTTTGAAGACCTTGGACCTAGAGCAGGGGTCTCCAACCTTGGCAAATCGAAGACTTGTGGACTTCAACTCCAGGAGTTCCTGGCTGAGAAACCCTAGGAGTTGAAAGTCCACAAGTCTTAAAAGTTGCCAAGGTTGGAGACCCCTGCTCCAGAGGGATGTAGGGTTCGCCCCCTCCCCCTTCCTAGTCATCCCTGGCCCAGCGTCTCATCTGCCTGCCTGCCTGCCCGCCCGCAAGCAAGGGCCAGAATTTGGTGTTCATCTGGGCGGGTGTTAACCCAAGTTGTTCTAGCACAAGCTTTGGTGGCCGGAAGGGCAGGGCACCCAGAGGGCTGGAGACCCACTTCCTAGAGGCCACAGCTCCCTGGACAACCCGTTGTCCCCCAACCCTGAAAGAAAGGAGGTTTGACCCAGGGGGTGGGGTTACCCCTAACCCTCTCCAAGAAAGACGAGGGTGGGATGGATTCCTGCACGCAGGGGGCCGCCCTCCCCCTTAGGAGCCTTGTCCTGAGTGGGAGCTGGAGGTGTGGGAGAGCTGGCCTCACAGATCGAAGGCTCTGGGTCCTCCTTAATCGGAAGGGGGGGGAGTTGGGTTGAGAAGGGGCTCTGGCCCCCAACTGCTCCCAGCTGCTGAGCCGAGGAGGAGGAGGAGGAGGAGGAGGAGGAGGAAGGGAGCCCTGCACGGTTCCCCCTGCTGCCCTGAAGGGGGCAGCATTGCTCGACTCCCCGTTTTTGGACGACCCCCTTTCCTCCCCCCTTCCCTTCGCTGTTTGGCCCGAGCGGGGCTGCAGCGGCGAAGCGGGTGGAAGAACCGGGGCGAGAAGCACCGTCGGCTTTTGCGCGGGCCGCCGCACCTGACGGGCAGGCTTGGCCTCTCCGCTCCGCGGCGGCTTCCTGGGGGCTGCTAGTCGCCGTTACCGTGGCGAAGTGGCCGGGAGGGGAGAGTCGGAGGACGGAAAAGGGGGGAACGGGGGCGGCTGTGGGAGCTGCAAAGCGGCCGAAGCAGTCCCGCCTCTCGGCTCCACCTGGAGTGCTGCCCGGACAGCGCCGCGCCTCCTCGCCTCCTCCTGCCTCCCCGCGCAGCCCGGGCTCCCTTCCCGGGGTCGGCTAAAAATAGCCGCGGTTTGGTGCCTGCCGCCCGCGGGCGGCCAGAAATAGGCGGCGTTCCGGCCTTGAGTCACCCATGCGGCGGGCGCTCGGCGAGGGACGGGCGGGCGGGCTCTCGGAGGCGGCTGGCCAGGCTTGCGCCCTCCGGCCCGGGCCATGCCTTTCTTCCGCGACCCGAGCAAGGCGGCGCCGGCGGCGGCGGAGATCTTGTGGGGCGCTCGCCGGGGAGGCCTGCAGAGACGGCATACCACCAAGGAGTACGTGGCCGCCTCCCCCGTCCCGATTCCGGCTGGGTCGGTCTGGGTTGCTCCGGTCCGGGAGTGCCGAGCGCCTTTCGCTTTGCCTGCCCGAAGGGCTGCTTGGAATTGGGGTGCGGGTGGGGGTGGTGGCCGCTGCGGCGTCGGGAGCGGAAGAGAAGCGCTGCCTCGGCAGGTCCCCCAACGGCTGGGCTTGGAGGCTCACCCTCCTTCCCTTGGCTTCCCCGCCCTGCAGGGCCAGAGACGTCAAGAACCGGCTGGGGCTCTTTCGGAAGCGGCAGGAAGCTCTCGGGGGGCAGCCTGAGAGCAAGGCCGACAAGGGGATGAAGCTTCTGCGGTAAGCGGGCGGGGAGCGAAACTGGGGGGGGGGCGGGGGAGGCCGTCTAGTCGGAAATCCCCCCCAGACCTTTTTCTTCCTAGGCAAGAAGTGGGGTGGGGGGCAGCGCTAGACAAGGTGTGGGTGGAAACGACTTGGAAGATCCTGCTAATGGACCAATCCCCGGAGGCAGAAACCTCCTTTGTCTAGGGGGGGGGGGGGCTTCAGACTCGGACAGCTTTTAAGACTTGTGTGGACTTCAACTCCCAGAATTCCTCCTCCAGTCACGGGAGTTGAAGTCCACTAGTCTTAAACTTGCCAAGTTTGAAGATCCTTGGATTAGACAGATGGAGAGACAGACTGTAGATCAGGGGTCTCCAATCTTGGCAACTTTAAGCCTGGATTCCCCAGACAGACAGATAGACAGACTGACCGAACATAGATGGACAGAGAGGGAGATAGAAGATAGATTCTATAGATCAGGGGTCTTCAAACTAGACAGCTTTAAGCCTGGATTCCCCAGCCAGCTTTGAAGCCTGGCAGACTTCAACTCCCAGAATTCTGGGAGTTGAAGTCCTCCAGGCTTAAAGTTGCCAAGGTTGGAGACCCCTGCTGTAGGTAGGCAAGTAGGTAGATTGATTGATTGATCGATAGACTGATCGACTGACCATAGATAGAGAGGGAGAGGGAGATAGAAGATAGATCCTGTAGATCAGGGGTCTTCAAACTAGGCAGCTTTTAAGACTCGTGGACTTCAACTCCCAGACTTCCTCCTCCAGTCATGTCAGCTCAGGGATTCTGGGAGTTGAAGTCCACTAGTCTTAAACTTGCCCAAGTTTGAAGAGCCTCGGTCTAGGAGGAAACCTGATTGAAAAGCTAAGATACAAGCGATGTGGGTGAGCTTGCCAGCCTCAGTCGTGCCCATGTCAACACTCCAAACTGGGCTGCCAATGGGAAAGAGGGAGGGCACTTTTTGACCACTAAGCCCCACCCAAGGCCTGTTTTGTCCCAGGCACCTTTGCCTGTTCTGGGATCCCTTGACTGGACACAACCACACGTTCAGGACGCTGTGCGTGAAGTGGTGGCCAGCATTGGTGGAAGCCATGGAGGCAGCAAGGGCAGAAATGTACGGTGGGGTTGTGGCAAACTATATTTGGCTCCGATTCCAGTGATTTTCTTTTTTCTTATTGTGTCCCTTTGGACTTTTGTCACTGGTAGGCAAGTTAGATAAAGTTCCAAATTCCACGTTAGTTTGGTCAGCGTATTTATTTTTTGTTCTAGCATTGTTTCAGTTTTAAAGAGGAGACATTTTAATAAACCCCTGTGCCGGGGAGTTATTTTTCTTCCCGCAGTGGTTCCATCTTTCACTGGCCTTTTGTGACACGCGATTCAAGTCATCTCCTTCTCACCATCCCTTGCCTCCCTTCAGGCCCCCTCCTGAAGAAGCTCTCCAATGGGGAGACTCGCTGGAAAAGCTGCTGCAGCATAAATGTAAGGAGCCTTTTTCTGGGGTTGAGTTTCAAAAGTCAGATTGCTGTAAGTGTTTGAATTAAAATTGTCAAAAGATTGGACAGCATTTGCCCCCCCACTTTTCAGAGCTTTTGAGTAAGCTTGAATAACCTCCTTTCCAAACACAGATCTTAAAACATTCACGGATGGGAATAAAATAGTTGTCTAGCTGGGTCCTTGGTGAAAAAAACAGAAGTACCTTCCCCAGTGGTGGGATTCAAATTATTTTATTACGGGCTCTGTGGGCGTGGCTTGGTAGGCGTGGCAGGGGAAGGTTACTGCAAAATCTCCATTCCCTCCCCACCCCACTAACCTGCTTTCCAGCTCCGTTCTCCTGTGCAGGGCAAACCAAAGGAGACCCAGCCAATCAGCTGGGACTCAGGAGGCGGAGAATAGATGGAGGCGGGGCCAGTCAGAGGCGGTATTTGCCGGTTCTCCGAACTACTCAAAATTTCCGCTGCCGGTTTTCGAGAAATGGCCAGAACCCGCTGAATACCACCTCTGACCCTCCTCCATTTTATTTATTTATTGCACTTTTATGTTGCCCGTTTCCCTGGCAAGGTGGCTGCGCAAAAAAAAAAAAAAAAAAGGCCTCAGTGCCTTTGCAGCGCAAACACGTCTCCCAAAAGCCGCTGCATCCTCTCATCCCTGCTCAGATGGGGTGGCTGCCTTCCGTTCTTTCCTGCGCACCGAGTTCAGTGAGGAGAACCTGGAGTTCTGGCTGGCGTGCGAGGAATACAAGAACATCAAATCCCAGTCCAAGATGATAGCCAAAGCCAAGAAGATCTACACCGAATACATTGCTGTCCAGTCCTGCAAAGAGGTAAGTCAGAGGATGGGATGTTGGGTTGGTGTTTGGGGCTAGCCTGGTTGGGAGGCAGAACCATTTGTAGAAAGTTTACTCGGCTCAAGCGTGGGATAGAAAGAACTTTGCTGAAATTTAAGCACATTTTTAATGCTGCTAAGTGGAGACCCCTGGCGCTACCTCCTGCCCTGATTTCTACATAGAAATGAGGCCAAGAACCCTTTTGGAAAAAAACAGATGCTTTTAAATCGGTTCCAAACTTTATCCCATGAAATCTTAAAAAGAAGCTGCTGGAGGCTATCAAATCTTCCCTCTTTCTCTTCTTTTTGCCTTCTGTGCACTGGAATCTCAGAATAGTCTTGGCTGTTTTTTGAAGCAAGCTTCACAACTAGATAAAATTCTAGCAGACGTTATGCCACTCATCAAAAACTACACTGTCTCCCCGATTCCCACAACGAACGAATGAACGGCTACAAAAACTGATGGGAGTTAGCAGGGATGCTAAATTGACTGCTTTGATCAAACGGGGAACCAAAAAATACAAACACTTTCATTTCTACTTGGAAACCACTTCTGGATTTGGAAAATAAAATGAAACTTTGCTTTTGGGTTTTACCAGTTAGTTAGATTTGTTGTTGCAGAAATGGCTAGTTTCTATTACTATTAAAAGTAAAAAGTCGAGGACAGGACTTAATGCTTTATTTTACTGCACCAAAGGAGTAGGAAGTCAAAATCTTCCCTCCCTCTTGCTTTCCCCCACTATTCACTTTCCTTTTTCCTTTCCTAATTTCCCTAATATTTGCTTTTCTATTTTTGTATATCATATTATAAATTAATAAAACTATAATAAAAAATATAATTTTAAAAAAAACCTACATTGTCTCTATTTTAGCGCAGGACACAATGAGCTGTAATTATTTGTCCAAGTATCCCTCTAATGCAGAGGTCTCCAATCTTGGCCACTTGTAAGACTTGTGGACTTCAACTCCCAGAATGCTGGCTGGAGAATTCTGGGAGTTGAAGTCCACAAGTCTCAAAGTGGCCAAGTTTGGAGACCCCCTGCTCTAAGGTCACCCTCGAGTTTTCCCCAACAAGCGGCAGCCCAACAGTGACTCGTGTCTGTCCGTCCTGCTCTAGGTCAACCTGGACTCCTACACCCGGGAATACACCAAAGAGAACTTGCAGAACATCAGCTGGGGCTGCTTTGACCTCGCCCAGCGGAGGATCTATGGCTTGATGGAGAAGGACTCCTACCCTCGCTTCTTGCGCTCAGAGCTGTACTTGGACCTCATTAACCCAAGGAAACCTGGCCCTTCTCTGTAGGTTCTCCCTCCCTCCCTCCCTCCAGGGAGCAGTTCGTTTACAAGTCATTACATTTTTGGCTAAGGGATTGTCTGGATAAATAAATCTGTCTTCCCACCCCAAGGGGCCTGGGGTTACAGAAATAAGCAGCTTTACTCTTCCTTCTTTACGAGAACCTGCTTTTCCCCCCCCTCTGGTACGATGAAGTCTTGGCACCCAAAAACTACAAAGGAGCAGACCTTCCAATGGACGACTGTGAAGTCCAGCGCTTCCCTTCCACCTTCCTTCCGCTGTTCTGGAGGTGGCAGCGCGATGAGTCCTTCCTGCACCCCGAACCTGCCTTGGGACATCCGTGGCTTTTCATAAATGGGCCACATCCTCACAAAGTGCAAGATGGAGGGGAAGGATCCCCTGCAGACTTTTGCATTCGATTCTGGGCCTGTTTTCTCTGGAGGAGAAATCTCCCTCTTCACTGCCCTTCCCATTAGTGCAACAGACCATGGAATTATCCTGCTTCTCTTCAACTGTCTGAAAGGCACAACCCTTGCTCAGTTTATTTATTGAAGCCTTCTAGTGGGATACCGTGTCTGTGAGAATGTCTCCCTGTTGAGTTTCCTTTTAAATTTAAGTGCAATATTTTTTTTTTTATTACCCCATTGCTATCATTTGTCTCCTGGTTTTCTCTCTTGACTCTTGGAGCGTGGAGCAGAATGAATGTAGTCTGTTCTCAGTCTTGTTCCTTATTCTTCGGCTTTTGACACCTGCTCCAGCAGATGTGTAAAAAAGCTTACGGCATCTTGTTGCAACAGCGGTGTGCCTTGGAGAGACTGAAAAACACCTGCACGTTTCTGCGCTGTGTCGTAAAAGGAAGTGTGACACAGCAGCATGTCTGGATTTGTACTCCTACCTACGTTTGGGTCCAGAAAGATGAAATCTCCTACAATGAATCTTTTGACCAAGTGCCTGGTTTACTATTCAGGCCTATCCCTGCGGTTTAAAATGTTTCTGTTGGTTTTGTTTTTTTACTATCTCATGTCTATTTAGGATAAATAAAGAGACAATACAAGTTAACTCTCTTTCCTCTTGTTTCCTGTTTCTTTGCAGCTATATTAATCTGTGAGGCCCCAGCTAGGGAGCCCCTCCAGTTGCCCTCAGAATGTGGGTCTCTGTGGGAGGAGGAGGAAGCATCCCGTACGCTGCCTCCAGCTGCATAAAACAAACTTGAGCTACAAGTCACCCCCTCCCTCCACCACCACCCCCCGCCCACCACCATGGTGGCCATTCATGATTCAGGAGAAGCAAAGAAATAGAAGGTCATGGAATTAGGTAGAGAATTCCACATAAAGCTAAACGTTACTACAGCAAAGGTACAAAATGAAGTTTCCAGCTGCAAAGGACGTCATTCACGTAGGGAAAAGCTGGAGAGGCTGTTGAATCAAAGATTCATTTCATTGTCTTTAGCGTCTGCACGTGAGCGATGGAAAAGGGCTTCGGCCACTGCGTCTCCTTGCTGTGTCCCTGTTTTCAAAACATCGATAAATTCGCCTGAGCTCAATAGAAGTCGCCTCTGGGGTGATGATGCTCTGCATTGCAGAAGACTCCTGTGACCAGAAGGGGGCAGTGTTTCCGCTTTGTCGCTCAGCAGAACTTAGGCTTTTAAAAAACATGATTCTGTACATATATTATTGTCATATTATTTTTTGGCAATCCAAAAATCAGTCAACGGTTTCAAGGAATTGCCACCCATGTCAAGGCATCACTAGAATTGAAGGCTTACCTGAGGATTCTTACCTTAGGATTAATAAAAGGCAGCACCGTGCCTTTAGGAGCAACGTGGCTATAACTTTTTCAGGTTCCTCCTCCAGGTAAATCTCCCACGGCTTGCAAAGCACAGTCCATAGGAGTATTATCAGCACAATTACTAATATTGACTTCTGCCCCGTGCTGTAGCAGGAGCTCCACAAGACCCATACGACAGTTGTTGCAGGCATTGTGCAGTGGAGTATGGTTCTTTCGGTCAGCAATCTGGACATTGGCTCCACTATCCAGAAGTTGCTTTACCACTTGGTAGTAGTGGCCAACTTCCCTGCACAACACCCCAAAGAAGCCGACTTTTAGTCATGCATGCAATAAACTGGCACAGATAGGCATGGTGCTCTGTTAGGTGCCAGTTGCCCAAGGAACCTACTCAACATCCACTGAAAAGCAAGCAATGCGGGTTCTGTTGCCATCTCTTACCCTCCACCTGACCTGTAAGGTTTTAGCTCTGGACCTGGATCTATTTTATTTTTCCTTTGCACTGTCTCAGGCGTGGCGAGCACTGCATGTAACGTGATGGTTTTGGGTAGGGGACACGCAGCACTTTTAAATATTGGTAGTCTCTGCATTCGCCTAACAAACCACCCTGCCATGTTCTATATGCAGAAAAATAAAAACAAGAACAAACAGGCTGAAAAACAGCTTCTATCCCAGGGCAGTAGCTCTATTGAATTCTACTGTATAGCAGTGTTGGTGCGGTTTTGGGGTTTTTTCCATTCAATGTGTGGAGGGTGAAGGGTGTGTGTTTGTGTTTATTTTCATGGTCATGACGTGCACTTAAGACGGAGTTTGATTTCGTTGCGCGAGGTGCAAAGACAATAAGGTAAACTAACTAAAACTAATTACCTAGTTGGGTAATGAAGCATCTGCAAGCAAACAGCCAAGTTCAGAGACGCAAGGACAAAATAAACTAAACTAAACTACGTATGTATTTGCAGCATGACAGTAGAATCCGAAAGCCAGTTTTTGATGTAGTGGTTAAAGCATCAGGATAGAAACTGGGGGTGGGCGGTGGGGGGGAGAGACTGTGAGTTGTAGTTCTGCTTTGGGCAAAGTGCCTGCTGGATAATGTTGGGCCAGTCACTTCCCTAGCCTAGAAAGGACACAGTGGCAACGCACTTGGGAAAATCCTTGGCAAGAAAACTTCGGAGGCTTCTGCAGGCAGCCTCTGAGAATTGGGCATGATGGAATGGAAGAAAAAAAAGGAAGAGAGAAGTTGTTAAGGAAGTTTACAGATTAATAGAGTTGGAAGGGACCTTGATCATCTAGTCCAACCCCCCCTCCCCCACCCAAGCAGGAGATCCAACACCAGGTTGCTGTCAGTAAGGATGATATTAATCCTTGATGTAAGCTGTGCCATTGGATACTAAACTATCAGTGGTAAAAAGCTCAGATTTTGCAGTATGAACTTTTTCCCTAATGTGGGTACCCTCATAATTAATAATCCTTATAGTTCCCTGAATATTTTCCAGTTACATGGTTTACTGAAGAAAGCTATGTTAAGGATAGGTCAAAATACAATGGAATTGCCGTCCCTCAACACTGTCCAACTATTTACTGAATTACTATTAACCTTCTCATCACTCCTTATCACCCATCCCCTCCCACTTGTAACTGTATGACAGTAACTTTGTCGCTTTTATCTTTATGATTTATATTGACTGTTTCCTAGTATGATTTGATTGCTTATTGTACCCTATGACTATCATTAAGTGTTGTGCCTTATGATTCTTGACAAATGTATATCTTTTCCTTTATGTAGACTGAAAATGGTGTTCGATTTCATTGTACAAGGTACAATAACAATAAAGTAAACTGAACTACAGAGAATATTTGCACCAAGACAAATTCCTTGTGTGTCCAACCATATCTGGCCAATAAAGAATTCTATTCTATTTTATTCTATTCTATTCTATATTAGATTCTATTCTATTCTTTTCTATTCTTATTAGATTGTATTCTATTCTATTCTATTCTATTCTATTATTAGTCTATTATTAGATTTTATTCTATTCTTATTAGATTCTATTCTATTATTAGAGTCTATTCTTATTAGATTTTATTCTTATTAGATTCTATTCTTTTCTATTCTTATTAGATTCTATTCTATTTTATTCTATTCTATTATTAGAGTCTATTCTTATTAGATTTTATTCTTATTAGATTCTATTCCATTCTTAGATTCTATTCTTATTAGATTCTATTCTATTCTATTCTTTTCTATTCTTATTAGATTCTACTCTTATTAGATTCTATTCTATTCTATTATTAGATTTTATTCTTATTAGATTCTATTATATTCTGTATAGATTCTAATTACATTCTATTCTTATTAGATTCTATTCTTATTAGATTTTATTCTTATTAGATTCTATTCTAATTACATTCTATTCTTATTAGACTCTACTTATTCCATTCCATTCCATTCTCATAGTAACCTCCTTTCCTGCTCAGGCAGGGTTGGCTCGGCTGCTGTCGAGTCTCCCTTCGACCAGCACGGTCGCCGGGATGCTTCCCGGGGTTGCCTGGCGGGGCTGTTCCTTCCCCGCCTCGCCCTGGTCCCAGCGACCTTGGCCGGCTCCGTCCCGTAGGGAGCAAAGGGGCCTTCCGTGCATGCAGGTGGGGAGGGATGCCCGCTCCAAAGCCCGGCCTTAGGGAACCGCCGCCGGGGGAGACGGAAGGAAGGAGGCCCGGGAAGCCAAGCGAGGCCCTTCGCTCCTTCTTCTTCGCAGGGCCTTCGCGGCAGGTGCACGGCGACGCCCGGGCGGCTCTGCTTTGGCCTTCCTGGGACGAGCCCGCTCTGGACGGGCGACGGCCGGGCAGAGGCGCCTCGGTGCGCGCCGGAGGAGGAACCACAACAACCACGCGTGGCCAAAGCGGCGGCGGCGGCGGCGCGCGAGAGGCGGCGCGCCCTGGGCGCAGCGCGGTGCGGCGTGCAGGCCGGGCAGGCTCAGCCGAGTTGCTCGCCGCCTCCTCCTCCTCCTCCTCTTCTGCCGCCCTTCCGCCGGGGGCCGCCTCCGCCTCCCACCCGCCCGCCCGGCCTCCCTCCACTCCCGCGATGGCGGCGCGCTCTCCTCCGCCCAGGCCGAGCTCGGCCCGGCAGCGCTGAAGCGGCCTGGGGGCTGGGGGGCGGTGGGGGGCTTGGCGCGGCCCATGTCCTCCCAGGGGGCGGAGGAGCCCGAGCCGCCCACCCGTGCTGCGGCGGCGAGGGAGGCGGCTCCGGCGGCCGCCGCCACCGCCGCTCCGCATTGTGCGCCGCGCGGCATCGGCAGCAGCAAGAGCGGCAGCAGCAGCAGCGGCAGCAGGAGCAGCTCGGCCAGCGAGGAGCCCCCTTGGCCGCCCCTCGCCCCCATGAAGGAGCCGGGCGGCCCCGGGGCAGCGGGAGGAGGAGGAGGCGGCGGCGGCGGGGAAGGAGCCGCCGCCGCCGCCTCCTCCTCCTCTTCTTCTCCTGAGGGCGCAGGAGGGGCCGCCGCCGCCGCCGCCCCCGGCACGGCGGCGCAGGTAAGCGCGGTCGACCGCCCGGGCTGCAGCCCCGGCCGCGGGTAGTTCTCGTCCCCGTCTCTCCGCTTGGCTTCTCGGGAGCAGCCATGTCACCATCGCCCGCCGGGCTACCCGGGCCTGGTGGGGGCCTCAGTGCCCTTGTGCGCCCCCCCCCCCCCGCCGCCTCTTTACTCGAGGGCCGGAGCCTTTTCCTTGCTTGTGTGTTTGTGTGTTTGTGTTTGTGTGTGTTTGTGGGTATTTTTTCTCTCTCCCTTCTTCTTTCTAATTTTCTCCAAACGAGTTTTCTCTTATTAAAAAGGACGCCCCCTAGGGGAGACTATTCCCAAAATAGGAGGAGGGGGGGGAAAAAATTAAATTTTGAGGGGAAAAATTTTTTTTTTCTTTTCTTTTCTTTTCTTCTTCTCTTTTTGTTGTTTTCCGAAAGGAAAGTTGAAATCGTTGCCTTGT